GACAAGGGGCAATGGGTGCAATCTGGAACATGGGAAGTTCTACCTGAACATGAGAAAAAACTTTTTCACTGTGAGGGTAACAGAGCACTGGACCAGGCTGCCCAGAGAGGTTGTGGAGTCTCCTTCTCTGGAGACATTCAAAACCAACCTGGACGCATTCCTGTGTGACCTGGTCTGGGTGATCCTGCTCTGGCAGGGGGGTTGGACTGGGCGATCTTTCAAAGTCCCTTCCAACTCCTCATATTCTGTGATTCTTTCACCATCATCTGAAGCATCTGAGCCTCAAATGCTTGATGTAGCACCAGCAAGTAGTGGTGTGTGTTGAGTCACTGTAGAGGTTAAGGGTTAGACCAGCCTGGGCAGACCCATGCTGTATGTTGAATGGCCCCTGCTGTGTGGGAACAACCTGGGGGATGTCCTCAGAGCAGACACAGGGCTCTGCTGGGGTTCCCCAAGACTGTGATGAGTAACGAGACCATCCTGAGACACAGGAGTAAAAGTGGCTGATGGAGCAAGGGCAAGGAAGCCAGGAGTAGTCCTGGGATGTGATTGCATCTTCTGAGGAGTCCCAGGCTCTTGCTGGGTGCTGCAGGAGGACAAGGCAGGGCGTGCGATAACCACACAAGTATCTCTGCTCTGCAGGTTGGGGCGGGTGGAGCTGCACAGACGACACCAAGGCCCAGTCTGTCGGTACGCAGAACCTGGCCACCCTCCTGCTCACCCTGAGCAACCTCATGTTCCTGCCGGCAATAGCGGTTGCTGTTTATCGCTACTACCTGGTGGAGGCCTCCGTCTACACCTACACCATGTTCTTCTCCACGGTAGGGATTGCCTTTTGCCAGGTCCCCTGCCAGCTCCCCCTGAGCATCAGGGATGCTGCACCAGACTGAAGTCCTTGGTGGAGCAGTCCATCCTGGAGCTGCACCAAGGGCTTCTAGGATCATTGAACAAGCACCTTTATGGCCATGTCTTGCCCCTCGGAGCTTGGTAGCGGTGTTATTTTCACTGGGCTCTTCCACCCATGCTGTGGGCGCTCATATTTGGGGGTTGGACACCAGGGAGCTGAGGCGGGGTTGAAGCATTGTGTACTTGAAGGGTGCTGTCCTAGGAGCTCTGGGCTGCTGCTGGGAGGACGCAGGTTGACGGCTGTTGTCCTCTGCTTTCTGTAATGTCACAGTGGTTTGATGGAGCTTCCTGGAGGCACTGCCAGGAGGCATCGTGGCTACCACGGGCTGAGCCTTCTCCTGCCTCTCCTTCCCAGAAAGCTGTGTGCTGCTGCTGGGTTCATGCTGGCCTTTGCTTTTGTCCCCGGCTCTAGTTCTACCACGCATGTGACCAGCCAGGCGTCGCAGTGATGTGCATCATGGACTACGACACACTACAGTACTGTGACTTTTTGGGCTCTGTGGTGTCCATCTGGGTGACGATCCTGTGCATGTCCCGAGTGAAGAAGATCCTGAAATACGTGAGTGTTGGGCAACCCCACACGGCAGGGCCAGCCAAGCTGTGAGTGGCCGTGTTGAGCCCTCTCAGGCTGTGCTTTAATGACACAGCCCATACAACTGCTCCTCCTCTGCTGCCCGCAGGCTAGCCTGCTCTGGGGACAGCGCAGCGTGTGACAAAGCCTGTCGCCCAATGCCACCCTGGTTGTTTAAACCAGTGGCTTGTTTTGTCCCAGGAGTTTGGATTGTGAAGCTGTGTGCTTTTAGGGACTGGGCCTGAAGGTACTGAGATTTGTGGGAAAGGTTTGTGGGTCCTCTGGTTTCTCCTTGTGGAGGTGCTGCTCCTGAGTCCTGCATGTGTGCAGGGCTGGATGGCCTGGAGGTGAGGTCCTCTCTGCCTCTGGCATGGCTGGCTGTGCCCTGAGAGCAGCTGATGATAGTCATGGTGTCTCATTCCCAGGTCCTTTTCGTCTTGGGGACCCTGTTAATTGCCATGTCCCTGCAGCTGGACCGCAGAGGGGTGTGGAACATGATGGGTCCCTGCCTCTTTGCCCTCGTCATCATGATCGCAGCATGGGTAAGTAAGGGCAGCCAGGCAGGACCCGCTGCCCTTTTCTCCCCTCTGGGGAATGATGGTGGCAGAGCAGACCCCAGCCCATCCACAAGAACGGCTTGATCTCCTTGAAACACCCAGGTGGAGGGAGAGCAGTGCGAGGGATTCACCCTCCATTCCTCCATTAGCTGATAAATCCCTGGCTTTGGGTCTCAGCATATTCCAGCTGCTGCAGCTCCAGCTGAGCCATGCCTGCAGCTGGAGTGTTGTCCCAGAATGGTCAGCTATTGCCCATGCCCTGGGCAGGAGCTATAGCATCTGTGCTGGGCTTTAGTGCCACTGCTGGAGTGTGACTTTTGCACACAAGGGACAAGCCCAAAAAGGGGGGAAAACTGCATTTCTCAGGGGCAGCAGACATATGCTCTTGCTGTGAGGTTGGCAGCACTGCCTGTTTCCTCCTGCCTAAGCTTCTGCTTGGCTGCTTAACTCTTCTGTGCTCTGACACCTCCAGGTTCACCACGGCGTGAAGCGCAGACACTGCTACCCCTCCTCTTGGAAGCGCTGGGTTTTCTACCTCCTCCCAGGGATCACCTTGGCTTTCATCGCCATCTCCGTATATGCATTCATGGAAACCAATGAGAACTATTACTACACCCACAGCATCTGGCACGTGCTGGTGGCTTGCAGCGTTGCGTTCCTGCTTCCTCCTCGGGACAAGCATAAAAAGCCCTGGGCCTGGTCACAGAAGCTCACTTGTCGCTATCAGATCTGCCAGAACGACCGTGAGGAGCTCTATGCTGTGACCTGAAACTGCTCAGCTCCGGGTCGCAGAAGTAGAGGGCTGGTGAGGTCACTCTTCTCCTTGGCTGCCCCTCGTTCACACGCCAGCAATTCTGTGTGCTCATTCACTGCCCAGGACAGCACAGTACGGACTGGGATTAAAGATGAAGATGGTGGGCCTGTCTTGTGCAGGCAAGTTTGAGGCCACCTCTGCTTTTCTGCTGGGATAGGGCAGGCTTTTCATGGTTCTAGATCAAGGAATAGCCTGTCCCCCACCTCCCCATGGCCCTGGGGGAAATCTCCAACCCTTCTTCCCCTCCTGCTGCATCCATGAGGCTTGGGCTTAGCCCACACTGAGCTGGAGCTGGGGCTTTGGCTCTTCCCTGCAGCCATGGTCCTAGCAGGGGCTGTGTGACACAGATTTCCCCTGCCATCCTGCAATCAGCATTTGAACCCAAGAAAAGAATGAGTTTCTTCTGATCTGGGGAGCAAATGCTGCTGCGTGTCCTTGGTGCTGATGGGGAAGGAGGGATCTGATTCTGGTGTGCAGTGGGCCTTCGGCCACCGTCTCTGAAGCCTCTCTCCCCATGAGACAGGCGGTGCTGCTCTTACCTAGTCCTGATTCTGAGGGGAAGAATGAGGCTGGGACTTGAGCCCTGAATTCAGGACCAGACTTAGCAGGAAAG